TGATGTATACACACTAAACCATTAAATTGCATACGTACACACGCCTATCAAACACACCACAACCCAGCAATATTATTCTTTTATTAACGGATTTATTCAAGGAATAGGTGGGGTTCCAACTGACAGTTTTCTATGAGAAAATTCGACATTTTCGTAATTTTTGGCGTGAAGTAACATCATTTAACACAGATGGCAGCACCATGCACAATATTCACTATAATAAAAAAATAAAAGAAAATTTATGTAATATAATATTATTTATCATATATTACACTAAATATTTGTTCATTCAAGAGATTCTTTAAATCACCTTTACTAACTTGCTCTATTCTAAAATTTCTTACAATTCGAGATAATTTTGCGGCAAGTACATGCTCACAAAGTAGAGATGTTTGCGAATCTAAAACACGTAGTTTAAATGTATTACAATGACAAAAATTAATGTCAGAAAATATAAAGTTTTGTTGATCTTTATTTTTTTCAATTTTCATAATGTTTCTGGAGTTATCATCGGTTTTATAAACGACAAATCGACTATTATCTAATAATTCAAGCGCTTTAGTAAATGTCATCCCAAAGATAGAATACAGAGATTGTAATATCTCATCTGAAACTTAAGAAAGATAAGAGAAACTTATTTAGATATATTTAAATGATTTTCTGAAAACTTACATGATTTATTTTCGTTAAAAAAGCATTCAGCATCTTCGAGTAATTTAAAGGATATTGCTGAAGTTACTTTGTTCGATTCGTTAGTTACCATCATAACTGACGTTTTCTTTACATAACCATACTTATCTAACCTCAAATTTAAGATTCGTATCCTACCTTCTCATTAAAAATTCTTATTTAATTTAAGAAATGTGTACGGAAGTTGATGTCTTCATTACCAATTATACTCTTGTTGATCCCGAAATACTTGAGTTATGGATACAAGGGTTTTCAGGTAACAGTCTGTTTTATTTTAATTATCATTTGGTCAACTAGAGAACATAGGTGATAAAATTCAGATTTTGAAGTGTTCTTATCCTAAATATTACAATGTATACTATAAGAATTACTCCCTTCCTACAAAGAGGTGATTTTAACCCCTATTACTATTTGTGTTGCTTTTCGCAGCCTCTGAAGCAGTATCTACATTAAACCAAAGAGGTCTTGGTCAAAAGACAGGAGCATCCCTGGAATTAATTGCCAGCGACGTTTTAGATCATTATCGTACTTATTCCCTCTTGGAGAAGCTTCTTACAAACCCTAATAAATTGCAAGAACAATTGGCTTTTCAAATTGACCCTGACACCAGGCAGTTTCTAATTGAGAGGTGCATACACATACCATATATCTATTAAGACTGTGGTTTATACAAAAACAATTTTCAAGCTATTATGCCATTGACGATAACGTCGTTCGCGAGCTTTTGGGGAAAAAGTTGTCTTCAAAACATCGAAAAGATTTGGATGAAGTTGCAGAGAAAACTGGCGTTCCATTGAAATCTTGTCGGTATGCTTTTTAAATTGACTGACTAAGTATCATATTTATTATTAACATTGTTATTTTTTAATTTAGAAGACAGTTTGATAATATTAAAAGGATTTTTAAATCGGTTGAAGAAATGCCCGGACCGATTGTGCAGAATATTCAAAAGCTGTTCTATTTACATGAAGATTTGGCTCGAAAATACGCGTGCATTGTCTTTCTGGCTTGCATTAGGTTCGAGACATCAAAACGCCGGTTACAGTACCTGGATTTTATTACGTTAAAACAGTGTACGGAGGTAATAATGGACCTATGGACTTACAACGTAACAGGTAAAAGTTTGTACTAGCATCTGGGCATCTTCCTTCATCTGGGAAGGCTAGTTTTATTAAACTAATATATCCCAAGCAGGGATTAAATACTGTATTCCTAATTATAGGCCTATTTCTATTTTAAGTGCTCTTGAGTGTATTATAGCTGAAAAACTGGCTTTGTTACTTGAGAATCAAATTATTTCAGAACAATATGACTACTCTAAGGCTAAATCAAATCTGATTGTGTAATATCAATATATTTTTGAAGCTTTTCTTGCAAAAAAAAGCAAGTTATTCTTGGTCAAAGACTATAGTCTAACGTTCACATTGACTTCATGTGCAAAAGCGCCTCTAGGCTCGATTGGTTTGTATCAGAGGAAACTCTACTGGATTTAAGGGTCCTTATACAATAAGAACTCTGGTTAGACCTTCACTTTATTATTTTTATCCTCTTTAGGGATTGTCATGTCACTTGAGCATGTATAGAATACGATGTTGAGATATCTAGCTTATTTTTTAAGATTTATTTAGCCTTAGGGACTGAAATCAGGATAAATTTAATATACAATCAGTACTAAAGGGGTTAAACTATTTATGTACCCTTAACAAAGTAACTTTTATATAAAGGTGTTAGATAACCTCAAAAGAGTATTCGAAAGGCTATTAGTTGATGATCATTATGTAAATAAGTAAAATCTTCTACTGTCTACTTTTAGATAGATGGAGGAAAATAGTATTATTGTTTTTAGTAAAAGGGTTGTGGCCCATACATAATAAATAATTTGATTTCCTTTCATTACATGTTCATTCAACACATACATGCACATATAGGCCCAGAATATTTGGATACGGAAATGGATAAGGAGTTTCTCTTGGATTTACGAGAGTTACGAGTTTTACTAGAGAAAGAAAAAGAACATAAGCAGTAAGACATAATATTTAACAGCTATTTACAAGTGTTACGTAGTTTGATTACGATTTCAGCTTGGTGTGTTGTTTCCTGAAGCCTCAACTTCTTCAGAAGTTTTACGTGGAATTGGACACGAATTTTCGAATTTATTTCCGTGCAATTTTAACTCTGGCAACAGCATTGCACCGGGCGAGGGAATTACGGAACTTATTTCTGGAATTGTCCCAGATATTAGAACTGTGGAAGCAAGCGGGATGGAATTTGCAAGACCTGGAAAAATTTCTAAAGGCTTTCACTCAATGTGCTCTGGAAATGGACGTGCTAAGGTTAAAACAAGTTATTTTTTTATGTGCGTTTTTAAATTAATGCATTTTAGGGAAATGGGACTTAAGGACACGTGGGAGAGATACATGGACGTCGTTACGAAGTGCATTTTGATTATGTATGCGCATTAATTCTTATCTTTAACTCAGTTAGTGTCTAATCCTTTTGTTATATTATGTAATTAAACATGTACAATAAATTATTGGTCTTAAGTAGTCACTTGTATTTTATATTTTTATTAAAACAGCCGTTCGTATATAATGCAGTTTACAAAAAATAATAGATACCTTATACGTAAACAGTTGATGATACACTATAATAATGATAAAAAAACAAAAGAAATCATTTAAAGAAAAAACAAAAAATGTTTTGAATCTATTGTTAACGAGTTTCCTTGAAACATCTGAACGACAATTCTTTCAGAAACCTAATTGAACATTGCCTTAGACCTCTAGTTGTAGCTCTAATTGAAATTTACCCAAAATCATTTAACATAATAAATTAATAAACTGCAGTAAGTCCAATGAAACAATTTTTGCAGTTCTTGTAGAAACATTTAATATTAATACTTTACTTCATACAAAATGATACCACTAATTCAATGAATTTATTTATTGTTTAATTTTTTATTGAGGACAATCGACTGTTTCGCATAAATAAATAAAACAAAGAATGTAAGGCGTAAAACATTCACTTTGAAACAAAATGTGCGTTCTTCAATTTTTACTTAAAAAGAAGCGATACAGATAACTAAGACGGCTTAGAAATACGTAGTTCGCGGTTTCCGGCCTGTAGCTGGCAGCGGCCATTTTTCACTCAACAATGGACGGATTGAGTAGCCCTTGCTTGTTCTAGGTAAGAAATTAAATTTTCTTGATTAAAAATTTCTGCTAGAACTAATGCAATTGTCGAAATCTAATAATTAAATATAGCAGAATACGATGTGCGTATTAGTTTTTGCGGCCATTAATTATTTTTCTTGGTATTTTGATAGTACCACCTCAATGTAACAATGCGTTATTTCTGTACTGCTTTTTTTGATAAAAAAAATACGATTACTTCGTATGATTCGGCCGAAATTGTTAAATAATCGATGTTTTACGATAATTTGACGCGAATTAAGACGTTTTCGTATATTTTTACAGAAAATGGTTTTTATAAGATATCAAAAAATTAATGATGGCTTGGGCCCCCAGCTTTAATATCATTAAATCGTTCTACTACATTGGTTAAATCAATTTAATAATTTTGGATGATAGCAGAGGGCTTTTATGGTGAAAATAAGCTCTTCGAACAACATGGACAAATGGACATGTTCTGCGAAAGGTAGGATTGCTTGAATTTGTTGTAGCAGCGAAATAATTGAACTGTTTATTAAAATGTTTCTGGTAGTCACTTGTTTTATAAAAATTCATTTGTTTTTTACCTTTTTTGTCTTTAAACAAATGAATAATCACATTGCGTTAAATGAACTTTGAAAGAAGCCAAACTTCCAACAAATGAAACTGAACCAGTTATTATCGATTTGCTAAGCCTCTTGCTTTTCTAAATCGATCTTAATTGATTGGTTTTATTTACCATTAGCTATAAGTGTTGGTCTTCTTCACAATCGGTTAACAATCCTCTTGGTTGGGGTGGTTTGTAGCGCATACAGTACTGCGAAGCATACCTTTGCAATCTATAAAGTAAAAAAAGACTTTTAGTATCTTTTGCCTTTGGTTTTGAACGATCACTTGTTAATAATTTCCCCTTGAAGTAATTAACAAGTGAAACTGCTTAATGAGCAGTTGTTTCTAATCGCAACTTTAACTTACTTAAGACAACTGACCAAAACCACTCACCTTCTTCGAGATCCTCAAAAATTTCAATTTAGAATGAGATATGCTGCATATTTTGAAAGGTTCAAGGAAGGTCGTGTGCTTTTGGTCATTTATTTTAATTTAAGTAAATTTTCTTATGAAAATAGACACACAGATATAAACATGTCTCATTCTTATCAAGCAATTCAATCAAAGACATTAATTAGGGAAAAAAAGATCATCGAGGTAGTTACTACTGTTATGATTTTTGTTTTATTATTGTATTATAATAAATAAAGGANTTATAATAATTCATTTGTTTTTGACCTTTTTTGTCTTTAAACAAATGAATAATCACAATTGCCTTAAATAAACTTTGAAAGAAGTCAAACTTCCAACAAATGAAACTGAACCAGTTATTATCGATTTGCTAAGCCTCTTGCTTTTCTAAATTGATCATAACTGATTGGTTTTATTTACCACTAGCTGTAAGTGTTGGTCTTCTTCACAATCGGTTAACAATCCTCTTGGTTGGGGTGGTTTGTAGCGCATACAGTACTGTGAAGCATACCTTTGCAATCTAGAAAGTAAAAAAAGACTTTTAGTATCTTTTGCGTTTGGTTTTGAACATTCACTTGTTAATAATTTCCCCTTGAAGTAATTAACAAGTGAAACTGCTTAATGAGCAGTTGTGTCTAATCGCAACCTTAACTTACTTAAGGCAATGACCAAAACCACTGACCTTCTTCGAAATCCTCAAAAATTTCAATTTAGAACTCTATATGTTAGATATTTTCATGGATTCGAGGAATGTTGTGTGGTTTTGGTCATTTGTTTTAATTTAAGTCAATTTTCTTATAAAATGCTTAATTTTTCTTCGTACCTGCGACATAGACATATAAGCATGCCTCATTGCTACCGAGAAGCTTAAGTAAAAACAAAGACATTAATTAGGGAAAAAAAGATCATCGAGGTAGTTACTATTGTTATGATTTTTGTTTTGTTATTGTATTATATGAAATAAAGTACTTTGTGTGTTTTTTATTTATGTATTTCTTTTGCGAAACATTTAATGGAATGATAGCAGTTGTTTTCCTATATTATGTATAAAACAAGTGACTTCCAATGGTGGTTCCTCTTTTATTTTTTAAACAATAAAGGGAACAACTGAAAATTAAGAAAGCCTCTGTTGTTCTTCTTAATTGATTCTGACTTGCCCACTTGGTTGGTCCTTTGGTAGTTCACACATTTGTATTAATTAATTAACTTTTTATTAAATAGTGTTAAGACTAAGGGGAAATTTTTAATCATTTAAATCGTTTTCTTCAATGAGGTGTAGCAGGTTAAAGTGATTGCCCTTTGAATGGCCTTTTCGAATATAAAATTGCCAAAGCAGTAACAAGATGTTAATTGTTTAAGCATTTTGACAAAAAATAGTATTAAACGAGAAAAAAGTGTTTTTAAATAATCACAGTATCTTGTTTTAATACTATTTCTTTTAAAATGTTTAAGTAATACATAAGATACAGCGGGGGCAATTTTCTACTGGCAAAGAGTATTTAAAGGGCAATCATTTTACCATAGTTCACCTGAAATAAAAACTCGATTTAAAGAAATCAAAATTTAAGTTAAGGCTTTCACTGCCTACGCCAAAAAAAAATTAGAAAGTCCAATTAATTTATCTATTAATTGTCTACTAAGACCGTTTGAGTGGTTTCGTACAAAAACTAAACGATAAAAGTAACTTTTACACATTTTAAACGTTAAACAAAAAATTGTTTATATTTCTACATAAATACACTTTGTTCTTTTGTGCATCAAATAGTGTACACCCTGTACATCATCCAATACACAATAGAACAAACATTATCCATTTCTATGTTGAAACATTTACAATTAATTGCTAAACGTTTTAAATTGTCTTAAAATAATTTTTTATTAATTACTAAGTATTTGGATTATTTGACTTTGCTCTTAATTTAAAACCAATCAAGTCGCTCGAAAAGCATTTAATAAATAAATTAATTTTCATTTACTTCAAATGTTTCTAAATTGTAAACATTAGCTGCGAAACAAAACATTCGTTCGTCAATTTTTACTTAAAAAGCAGCCATACATATAACTAAGACGGCTTAGAACTACGCAGTCTCGCTTTTCGCCTGTAGTTGGCAGCAGCCATTTTTCGCTCAACAATGACCGAGATGCGTGGTCTATGCTTATCTTAGGTAAGAAATTAAAGTTTCTTGATTAAAAATTTCTGCTGGAACTAATGCAATTGTCGAAATCTTATAATTAAATAATTAATTTTTTATTATGTAGTGTTAAGACCAAGGGGAAATTTTGAATCATTTAAATCGACTTCTTAAATAAGGTGTAGCAGGTTAAAGTGATTGCCCTTTGAATGGCCCTTCCGAGGATTAAATTTGCCACAGCAACAAAAAATAGTATTAAACGAGAAAAAAATAGTTTTTTAATTATGAAAGTATCTTGATTTAATACTATTTCTTTCAAAATGTTCAAGCAATAAATAAGATACAGCTAGGGCAATTTTATATTCGTAAGGAGTATCTAAATAGCAATATTTTTACCCTAAGTCACCTCAATTAAAAGGTCGATTTAAAGATTCAAAATTTCCTGGCCTTAATTCAAGCTTTCACTGTCTACGACAAAAAGTTTAATTAATTTATTTATTAATTGTTTACTAAGACCGTTTGAGTGGTTTTGTACGAAAACTAAACGATAAAAAACACTTTTTCACATTTTAAACGTTAAACAAAAAATTGTTTATATTTCTACATAAATAAATTTTGTTCTTTTGTGTATCAAATAGTGTACACCCTGTACATCATCCAATACACAATAGAACAAACATTATAAATTTTTATGTTGAAACATTTACAATTAATTGCTAAACGTTTTAAATTGTCTTAAAATGTTTTTTATTAATTAGTAAGTGTTTGGATTATTTGATTTTGTTTTTAATTTAAAACCAATCAAGTCGCTCGGAAAGCATTTAATAAATAAATTAATTTACATTTACTTCAAATGTTTCTAAATTGTGAAACATTAGCTGCGAAACAAAACATGCGTTCGTCAATTTTTACTTAAAAGCAGCCATACATATAACTAAGACGGCTTAGAACTACGCAGTCTCGGTTTCCGCCTGTGGTTGGCAGCAGCCATTTTTCGCTCAACAATGACCGAGATGCGTATTCTCTGCTTATCTTAGGTAAGAAATTAAAGTTTCTTGATTAAAAATTTCTGCTGGAACTAATGCAATTGTCGAAATCTTATAATTAAATATAGCAGAATACGATGTGCGTATTAGTTTTTGCGGCCATTATTTATTTTTCTTGGTATTTTGATAGTACCTCCTCAATGTAACAATGCGTTATTTCTGTACTGCTTTTTTTGATAAAAAAAATACGATTACTTCGTATGATTCGGCCGAAATAGTTAAATAATCGATGTTTTACGATAATTTGACGCGAATTAAGACGTTTTTGTATTTTTTGCAAAAAAAGTTTTATTTAGTACCAAGAATCATAGAAACTGCGGGTGTTGATAAAAAAAATACGATTACTTCGTATGATTCGGCCGAAATAGTTAAATAATCGATGTTTTACGATAATTTGACGCGAATTAAGACGTTTTCGTATTTTTTACAAAAAAAGTTTTATTTAGTACCAAGAATCATAGAAAATGCGGGTGTTGAAATTACTGGTGCAACCTGCAGCATGCAGTTGGCACTTCCTAACGTGTGCGCCATTGCAATATTACGATTCCGCGAAGTGTCTTATTTAGTAAGAAAGAAATTAAAGTTTTTTCATTAAAAAATTCTGCTGGAACTAGTGCAATTGTCGAAATCTTATAATTAAATATAGCAGAATACGATGTGAGTATTAGTTTTTGCGGCCATTGATTATTTTTCTTGGTATTTTGATAGTACCACCTCAAGTTAACAAAGAACTATTTTTTAATTGTTCTTTTAAAAAAATACGATAATTCCGTATGATTCGGCGGAATTCATTAAACAATCGACTTTTTACGATAATATGAGCCGAATTAAATCATTTTCGTACTTTTTTGCAGAAAATGGCTTTTCGAAAAAACTAGAAAATTGATAGCTGTTTGGGGCCCTTTTTTGCTATTACTAAATTGTTCTATTACACTGGCTGAACCATTTTAATAACATTGGAGTGATCTTTGCAAACCTGTGTGATTTTTTTGGAGAAGAAAAGCTTTTCGACCAGCATGGGCAGGTTCGACTTGAATTGAAAGGTAGGATTGCTTTGAACTTAATTAATTGGTTGTTTTTTGGAATAAAAAAATTGAATTGCTTATTGAAATGTTTCTGATAGTCACTTGTTTTATGATACTTTCATTTGTTTATTTTTTATCTTAAAACAAATGAATAATCATAACTGCATTAAATAAAATGCGAAGGAAGCGAAACCTTCATTAATTAAACTTAGCAAGTTATTATCAATTTAGAAAGCCTCTTGCTTTTCTAAATTGATTTTAATTCATTGGTTTACCACAAGTACAACTGTTGGCCTTTTTTGCTATCGGTTTGCAATCATCTTAATCGGGGGGTTGTTTCGAGCAGTTGTTGTCATCTCTGGATGTTTGCCATCTGGAAAAGAGAACACAGTTTTAGTGCTCTTTGTATGTGCATTAGTTTTAGTAATAATAGCAATAATTTGCTGCTGTTATTTTGATTATTTTATCATGAACATAACAGAGCAAATTGTTGTTTTGTTTCTCCTTGATCATTCTATTATGGAAAATTAACGAATGGAGTTAATGTGACACAAACTGTTTTAGTTTTTAAACTAAAATGTAACAATTAGGCACTAATATTTTCTATGATGTCTGGTCAGGCCTTATTTTTACAGGATTGATCACTACAAGGTAATTTAATGTGTGTTTTTAAAAATAGTGGACCTGCAATAAATTTCACACCTTCTATTAATAACATAAATAATTTAAATTTTAATCTAATGCCATAAGTATCTATTTGGGTAAACTTAATGGTAGGGAATTTCAATATTAAATTACCTAATAACAAAAGAAAACCTGTGATAAACATTGGCCTTTATCTATGTATATCATTCATAATTGAATGCGACACACACTTACCTTAAAAAAAAAATGGTACACATTTAAAAAAAGCCACATTTAAATATCACTTGTCTTTAAAATTTCTCCATAGCGTCCACGGCCACATTCCCAGATGGTTCCAGTCGTAGTGTGTAGACAAATTCCTTCCATTAACTAAAATTGTATTATTATTAACTTTATGGAGAACACACAATAGAACAAGTTTGTAAACAAAGAACAACGCCCACATTCCTCAAGAACATTTTTAATACTTGAAATCAGTTTTTAGGCAAAGTAAATTAAATGAATATACTTACAAAAGCTGTGAAAACTGATTTTCGAACATTTGACGTTGTATTTGGTACTTACAACCATTTCGTGACGTAACACACGACTTTGTACACTTCAGCACGTACACAAACTACCATGACTCACTCCATCGATTTCCCCTTTCTAAGGTGGTGTGTCATCCACGTTCTACTGTAATGTAGGGGCCTGTTTTGGGGATACAGCTGATTCAACGCCATCTGACGTTGCTTCGTCATCTGCAGGTTGCGCGATCTTCCTCGTAGCTTGAATCAAGTGCCACTAGTAATACATAGGGGCCACTGGCTTCACTTAAGACACAGGGTGTTCAAAATCGCGTGCAGGTTCCACTACATTTTTAAACATACAGAACTTAATTGACTATTTACCGAAGATAGTAGTAAAGACGTATATATGTTTCTAATATATGTATTATTGAAGGGCTTCTATGCCTTTGTTTTCTAGAATTTCGTTTATTCATTTCAGAGCTGCAGTTGCATCTATTTTTGAAGATCAGCAAGAAGATAATTCAATAACGGACTTGTTACGTATTCGATTCGTAAGTGTGCGTGTTTCAGTGTTGTTACTTTCGTGAAGATTCGGTATGTGATAGTGACAGTGATAGAATGACTTGCTCGATGGATTTCCCCTCCGCCCAGTCTCTGGCACCTTCCTACCTACCCCACCCTTCCCTACCATCCACCACCATCATTCATCACGGAGAGGATGAGGACCGTGGACATCCGACGCTGGATAGATTAAGGTTTCGGTGAACCCTACTGAGGTCTAGCCGACGCCTAAAAGTAAGTCACTAATGAATATTGTTTCAAATAGACCCGAGTGCAAGTTTTTATATTTCCATTTGTATTTGTATTTTTTGATTTTTATTACTTTGGGGCTAATTTGATTTTTGCACCCAATAAGGTGGCTTACAAACGGTAAGTTAGCGTATTATTGGGCTCCTCTGGTGGTCCATTGCCATATTATCCAATTGAGTCGCTCCGCGTGCTAGGGACCGACGTGTGCAGGCACGGCGCCTGTATTACGTCAAACTTTGATTCTTAATACTTGGATTACTTATGTGATTATTAGTTGCTGCCTTAGGTCCTTTACGCCGTATTATTATCTACAAGACATACCTACCTACCGTATTTATTGTTGCTTTTTAGGGATGTGACGTTAGGACACGGAGAACATTTAAAATTGTGATTACCTTATTTCAATGCATACCTACATACATGGTGTTTTGTCCACGCTGTCTTTTCGGGGTTTGGTTCCACGTACACCTACATATACCATAAATAATATTATTTACACTTTTATTTTATGTGTATGTTTACTTGTCACTCATTGGGTCTATTTGATATTTTTTCAGCTAGTGTATTTACAATAGTGTAGTGAGGAAGGAGGAAGACAGCGAAAAGTGTTGCGCGTCAAGGTATAGTGCATTACCTATACCTTCTTCTGGCATAACAGTGGCGGCGGCTCGCGAATCGGTTTAAGGTTGGCGCCAATTCCAATTTATTTAAATTCATTAAATTTTTAATGTTGCCAGTAAATTGTTCGTTTTTAATAACTCATTTGATATTTTGTGAAATTTTAATTTGAAATTAAGGGGAAAATGAATAACGTCTCATCTACCGCATAAATATAGGTGAAAATTTTTCGAAAGGAAAAAATCGTATTATTCATCTTCTCCTTAATTTAGTAAATTTTTAAAACTTCAATTCAGGGTATCTGCCGTTATCACTTGGTGAAACATGATTGAAAATTAAAAATTAAGTCAAAAAAGGAGTAACAAAAACCATACTAATTAACAAACAGTAAATAAATTAATTTATATATTAGACCCAAACATTGTTCAACCCCCACCCACCCTCTTAGGAATAAATCTCTATAAATTAATTTATTTCCTGTTTGTTAATTAGTATAGTTTTTGTTACTCCTGAAGATACGTATCGAGGTTTTAATAAAGTTTTAAGTGAAAGTCCCAAGTTTTTTGATTTAATTTTTAATTTTTAACTTCAATTCAATTGCCATAATTAAATGTTAATTGTAGGTACTATTTTCCAAATTTACTATTTATTTTTTTCTTTTGCGCTCGAGTACCTACCTACAGGTAGCCAGCCAGGTAATAAGCGTTCGTCCAATGGGCATGTAGGAGTGATTACTAATTTTTAATTTAGGTACTTGATTTCTATGATGATGAATAAAAAAGAAACACTTTTATGGATTTTACTCTAACGTGTATTTCGGCTGTAATGATATCATCAAAGAGTTAATATTCTCAACTGGAGTTATTAGCACTTTGACGATGGATATTTTAGAGTGAAATCTAAAAAATAATTTAGTGAAACATATAAACCAAGCAAGCAAGGTTTCTTTTTTATTCATCGTATTCATTCATAGTATTAAAAAGCGATCGTCTTCGGCTTACCACAATTTCGACTATTACATAATGTCGTTCTCGTCCAACACGAATTACGCCACTGTTGCCACCACATTTACAATGCTTAACGGCACACAGGATTTCTTTTCATATTCCATTCTCAATTTACATTTTGTCGTTTTAATGTTTTTTTTCAATTACGAAATTTCATTTATTTTACTGCTGCACATCTAAAATCTTAGTTCTTTCAAAGCAAATATACATGTCACAAATTAGAAATACATAACTTTCGAATTTTATCACTGGGTGCCTACATAAATTTCGTTAAGCTTAAAATCAAGGAGTGGGAATATAAGTATGTTGGTAATGAAGTAAGTACGTACTACCACCCTATCAGTGGGTGGGGTATCAATAATATATTATATGTTTTACCTTTTACTAATCTTGTATCTTCGATTCTGTTTCAGCATGACCGGTAAGTGAAGTACTTTACATCCAACCAAATATCTTTTTAAACGATGATACTAACAATTTTACCTATTTTCTTTTTCAGGTTTCCGTGGGTCAATCTTTCTCTTCTCGCTTGGGAAGAGAAAGAAGAACATCGATCGATTAAAACAACCAAACATGATCACACATATCGTTAACATCGCGATCGAAGTGTATCCGTCACGTTATTGTTTAGTTGGGGTGTTCGTTGTTTGATGAAAACATTTATTCTCCATCCTCTTGAAAACCATAAATATCTCCTTTTAATATTGTCGTGGTTCTGTTGTCTCGACTTCGTTATCTCCACTCTTCTTCGTTAGAAAATCATAATGATAGGTATCAGTCTTGGAGGCAACAGTCTGCTCACTTCAATACAAACTTGGCGGAGGGTCAATTTTTTGCGGTATTTGCGATCCATCCCAATGGGACTTTTAGCGCAATGACAAGTGAAACCCACTATATACGATTATTTCATTAGTGGCTTTCCCTTTCCATTTTTCGTGTCGTTTTCGGATCGAGTGAAATGCGGATTGGTGTTAGTGTTAATAGGAAGAAGATTAGTGTCCGCAGAGACACCAGGTCAATAAACAGAATGGGTAAAATGTGCCTTCGGGCATGTACAGGTACACGTTTGAGAGTATGTTTTAGGAACAGGAAGCAAATAGAATAGATCCGTGATCCGAATTGTACAATTACAGTTTAGATGATCGGGACGAGGAGGATAAAAAAATAGCACGTCGAAGATAAATTCCTACCTATTATGCATGTTGGCGTTTTGATTTTGGTGTTGGTGCTAATAGGAAGAAGGCTAGTGTCCGCAGAGACACCAGGTCTATAAGCACCAGAAGTAATGTGCCTTTGTGCATGTACAAGGACATGTTTGAAAGTATGTTTTAGGAACCAGAAGCAAATAGAAACATGGAGCTGTACGATTATGATTTCCAACATTGTTGGAATCGTTGTTTACTCTAATTTAATTTGTGTCTTTAGTTTTAATTTCTTTTCAGTCCCTGAACGAGGTAACCCTGTTACCGAATAGTCCTTCGGACGCTAATCATCATATGTTGGCGTTAGGGTTTGAGCTGTTTAAAGTATTTCAGAAACATGGTACATAGGTATATGGTTTATATTTGGTGATAAAGTAAAAAGTAAAAAAACATGGTACCTACTACGCAAGTTGAGGACTGCAAGGGTATTATGGAATTGCGGGGGTGATGGAGGGTCATAGCCAACAACGGGCAGTTCCTACCGGAGCATGGAATATTTTATTGTTTGTTCGTCATAATTTCATTTTCTTTGTTAGGGTCCGAAATGTCGAAATAATCGACAAATAAACCGTTCAAAAGATTACAGGGATGTTAGAGAGGACATCAACAAACCAAAACCGGTTGGTTTACAGCCGGTGGGACGCCTTAAGCCGTTTGGTTGCTTGCTTCACCCACTGGGTGTTTTTAATTCTTTTTAACTAACCTTTTGTCTAAGCATCCATTTCACAGGTACGAAAAACATGTTGAGGCCCGCAAAACAGTTGATGAGTTTGCGGGGGTGGTGGAGGGTCTCAACGCACTAGGAGGAATTGGTGATGTAAGTACGACGAAAACTTTCACTGCTCTGAACTTTTCCTAACAATTGCTTTCTGTTTGTCAGGATTCTAAAATGTAAAGTTGTCAAGAAAGCCACTGATTTACAAGTCCCATGTATGCTGCCACTATCGAATTATATTACCTTCCCAGGAATATTTCCAACAGTTTGAAAGATGATAAGGTTTATATCGATGAGTAGGAGGAATTATGACAAAGGTAAGACTACCTTCTTCACCCACTGGGCGTTTTTCGGTTTTCACAGTTGCAATTTTCTGTTTTAGATTCAGAGAAATATTGACATCCATATTGAGACTCATTTGATGGTTTGTTTTATGGTGAGCAGTTTGAGAATGTTACCAAAAGCGTGTTAATATCAATGTGAGAATTACGAATAAATCTATATGTTGCTGGCCCCAAGAAAACAAATTATACCTATTTCGGAGATGGTAGAGGCCTCGAAGTTACAAAGGTGACTATTAAGTTTATCCTTTATTTTATTTTAGTAAAGTATTTTTCAGTATGTATCGTTAGCACCCAAAAATAAATAATTCGTGTTGCTTGGACAAGGTTTATTTTAACGGAAACCTTTTCAAATTGCAGTATCATTAATATATGCTTTTTTTCTTTTGTTTCAGATTCATCCTACTTTGTTACGTATTCGATTCGTAAGTGTGCGTGTTCTAGTGTTGTTATTTTCGTGAAGATTTGCTATGCGATAGAATAGTTTGCTCGATGGATTTCCCCTCCACCCAGTCTGGTACCTTCCTACCCATCAACGACGTTTCATCACGGAGAGGATGAGGATCGTGGACATCCGACGCTGGATAGATTAAGGTTTCGGTGAACCCTAGTAAGGTCTAGCCGACGCCTAAAAGTAAGTCACTAATGAATATTGTTTCAAATAGACCCGAGTGCAAGTTTTTATATTTCCATTTGTATTTGTATTTTTTGATTTTTATTACTTTGGGGCTAATTTGATTTTTGCACCCAATAAGGTGGCTTACAAACGGTAAGTTAGCGTATTATTGGGCTCCTCTGGTGGTCCATTGCCATATTATCCAATTGAGTCGCTCCGCGTGCTAGGGACCGACGTGTGCAGGCACGGCGCCTGTATTACGTCAAACTTTGATTCTTAATACTTGGATTACTTATGTGATTATTAGTTGCTGCCTTAGGTCCTTTACGCCGTATTATTATCTACAAGACATACCTACCTACCGTATTTATTGTTGCTTTTTAGGGATGTGACGTTAGGACACGGAGAACATTTAAAATTGTGATTACCTTATTTCAATGCATACCTACATACATGGTGTTTTGTCCACGCTGTCTTTTCGGGGTTTGGTTCCACGTACACCTACATATACCATAAATAATATTATTTACACTTTTATTTTATGTGTATGTTTACTTGTCACTCATTGGGTCTATTTGATATTTTTTCAGCTAGTGTATTTACAATAGTGTAGTGAGGAAGGAGGAAGACAGCGAAAAGTGTTGCGCGTCAAGGTATAGTGCATTACCTATACCTTCTTCTGGCATAACAGTGGCGGCGGCTCGCGAATCGGTTTAAGGTTGGCGCCAATTCCAATTTATTTAAATTCATTAAATTTTTAATGTTGCCAGTAAATTGTTCGTTTTTAATAACTCATTTGATATTTTGTGAAATTTTAATTTGAAATTAAGGGGAAAATGAATAACGTCTCATCTACCGCATAAATATAGGTACAAATTTTTCGAAAGGAAAAAATCGTATTATTCATCTTCTCCTTAATTTAGTAAATTTTTAAAACTTCAATTCAGGGTATCTGCCGTTATCACTTGGTGAAACATGATTGAAAATTAAAAATTAAGTCAAAAAAGGAGTAACAAAAACCATACTAATTAACAAACAGTAAATAAATTAATTTATATATTAGACCCAAACATTGTTCAACCCCCACCCTCTTAGGAATAAATCTCTATAAATTAATTTATTTCCTGTTTGTTAATTAGTATAGTTTTTGTTACTCCTGAAGATTCGTATCGAGGTTTTAATAAAGTTTTAAGTGAAAGTCCCAAGTTTTTTGATTTAATTTTTAATTTTTAACTTCAACTGAATTTCCATAATTAAATGTCAATTGTACTATTTTCCAAATTTACTATTTACTTTTTTCTTTTGCGCTCCAGTACCTACAGGTAGCCAACCAGGTAATAAGCGTTCATCCAATGGGCATATAGGAATGATTACTAATTTTTAATTTAGGTACTTAATTTCTACGATGATGAATAAAAAAGAAACACTTTTATGGATTTTACTCTAACGTGTATTTCGGCTGTAATGATATCATCAAAGAGTTAAGATTCTCAACTGGAGTTATTAGCACTTTGACGATGGATATTTTAGGGTGAAATCTAAAAAATAATTTAGTGAAACATATAAACCAAGCAAGCAAGGTTTCTTTTTTATTCATCGTATTCATTCATAGTATTAAAAAGCGATCGTCTTCGGCTTACCACAATTTCGACTATTACATAATGTCGTTCTCGTCCAACACGAATTACGCCACTGTTGCCACCACATTTACAATGCTTAACGGCACACAGGATTTCTTTTCATATTCCATTCTCAATTTACATTTTGTCGTTTTAATGTTTTTTTTCAATTACGAAATTTCATTTATTTTACTGCTGCACATCTAAAATCTTAGTTCTTTCAAAGCAAATATACATGTCACAAATTAGAAATACATAACTTTCGAATTTTATCACTGGGTGCCTACATAAATTTCGTTAAGCTTAAAATCAAGGAGTGGGAATATAAGTATGTTGGTAATGAAGTAAGTACGTACTACCACCCTATCAGTGGGTGGGGTATCAATAATATATTATATGTTTTACCTTTTACTAATCTTGTATCTTCGATTCTGTTTCAGCATGACCGGTAAGTGAAGTACTTTACATCCAACCAAATATCTTTTTAAACGATGATACTAACAATTTTACCTATTTTCTTTTTCAGGTTTCCGTGGGTCAATCTTTCTCTTCTCGCTTGGGAAGAGAAAGAAGAACATCGATCGATTAAAACAACCAAACATGATCACACATATCGTTAACATCGCGATCGAAGTGTATCCGTCACGTTATTGTTTAGTTGGGGTGTTCGTTGTTTGATGAAAACATTTATTCTCCATCCTCTTGAAAACCATAAATATCTCCTTTTAATATTGTCGTGGTTCTGTTGTCTCGACTTCGTTATCTCCACTCTTCTTCGTTAGAAAATCATAATGATAGGTATCAGTCTTGGAGGCAACAGTCTGCTCACTTCAATACAAACTTGGCGGAGGGTCAATTTTTTGCGGTATTTGCGATCCATCCCAATGGGACTTTTAGCGCAATGACAAGTGAAACCCACTATATACGATTATTTCATTAGTGGCTTTCCCTTTCCATTTTTCGTGTCGTTTTCGGATCGAGTGAAATGCGGATTGGTGTTAGTGTTAATAGGAAGAAGATTAGTGTCCGCAGAGACACCAGGTCAATAAACAGAATGGGTAAAATGTGCCTTCGGGCATGTACAGGTACACGTTTGAGAGTATGTTTTAGGAACAGGAAGCAAATAGAATAGATCCGTGATCCGAATTGTACAATTACAGTTTAGATGATCGGGACGAGGAGGATAAAAAAATAGCACGTCGAAGATAAATTCCTACCTATTATGCATGTTGGCGTTTTGATTTTGGTGTTGGTGCTAATAGGAAGAAGGCTAGTGTCCGCAGAGACACCAGGTCTATAAGCACCAGAAGTAATGTGCCTTTGTGCATGTACAAGGACATGTTTGAAAGTATGTTTTAGGAACCAGAAGCAAATAGAAACATGGAGCTGTACGATTACGATTTCCAACATAATTGGAATCGCTGTTTACTCTAATTTAATTTGTGTCTTTGGTTTTAAGTTCTTTTCAGTCCCTGAAGGAGATAACTCCGTTACCCAATAGTCCTTCAGACGCTAAGCATCACATGCTGGCGTTAGGGTTTGAGCTGTTTAAAGTAGTTCAGAAACATGGTACATAGGTATATGGTCTATATTTGGCGATAAAGTAAAAACTGAAAACATATGGTACCTATTACGCAAGTTGAGAACCGCAAGGGTATTATGGAATTGCGGGGGTGATGGAGCATGGAATATTTCACTGCCTAGAACTGTTCGTCATAATTTCCTTTTTTTTTGTTAGGGTCCGAAATGTCGAAGTAATCGACAAATAAACCGTTCAAAAGATTACAGGGATGTTAAAGAGGACATCAACAAACCAAAACATTACATTGGTTGCTGCCACCAAGTTAAATTACAGCCGATGGGACGCCTTAAGCCGTTTGGTTGTTTGCTTCACCCGCTGGGTGTTTTTAATTCTTTTTAACTAACCTTTTCTCTAAGCATCCATTTCACAGGTACGAAAAACACGTTGAGGCCCGCAAAACAGTTGATGAATTTGCGGGGGTGGTGGAGGGTCTCAACGCACTAGGAGGAGTTGGTGATGTAGGTACGGTGGAACATTTCACTAGTCTGAACTTTGTTCATAATTGCGTCGTGTTTCTCAGGGTTCTAAAATGTAAAGTTATCAAGAAAACCATCGATTTGTAAGTCCCATGTATGCCATTATCACTACCGTCCCAGGAGTGTCTCCACCAGTTGGGAGGATGATCAGGTTTAGTTCAATGAATGGGAAGAATTATGAGAAAGGTACTACTACCTTCTCCATTCACCGGCGGGTGTTCGTAATTCTTTCTAATCGAAACTTCTTCTTCCAGAATCGAACGTGGAATTACGAAAGAATGTGTTGAGGCCCGCAAAACAGTTGATGAGTTTGTGGGGGTGGTGGGGGGTTCTCAACCAACCAGGAGGAGTTGGGGATGTAGGTACGGTGAAGTATTTCACTATTCTGCACTTTTGTTCATAATTGCGTCGTGTTTGTCAGGGTTCTAAAATGTAGAGTTATCAAGAAAATCATCGATTTGTAAGTCCCATGTATGCCATTACCACTACCGTCCCAGGAGTGTCTCCACCAGTTGGGAGGATGATCAGGTTTACTACAATGAATGGGATGAATTATGAGAAAGGTAAGACTACCTTCTTCATTCACCGGCGGGTGTTCCTAATTGTTTCTAATTGCAACCTCTTCTTCCAGAATTGAACGTGGAATTTTGAGAGAACGTGTTGAGGCCCGCAAAACAGTTGATGAGTTTGCGGGGGTGGTGGGGGGTTCTCAACCAACCAGGAGGAGTTGGGGATGTAGGTACGACGAAAAATTTCACTGCTCTGAACTTTTCCTTATAATTGCTTTCTGTTTGTCAGGATTCTAAAATGTAAAGTTGTCAAGAAAACCATTGATTGACAAGTCCCATGTATATTACGTTCCTAGGAATATTTCCAGCAGTTTGGAAGATGATAAGGTTTATTTGGATGAGTAGGAGGAATTATGACAAAGGTAAGACTACCTTCTTCAACTACTGGGCGTTTCTTGATTTTCACAGTTGCAATTTTCTGTTTTAGATTGAGAGACATATTGACATCCATACCTATAATGAGCAGTTTGGGAATGTTACCAAAAGCGTGTTAATGCCAATGTGAGAATTACGAATAAATCGATACGTTGCTGGCCCCAAGAAAACAAATTATCCCTATTTCGGAGATGGGGGGATGGTAGAGGCCTCGAAGTTACAAAAGTGAGTACTAAGTTTATACTTTATGTTATTTTAGATAGTAAAGTATTGTTCTGTATGTATCGTTAGCACCCAAAAATAAATAATTCGCATAGCTCGGACAAGGTTTATTTTCACGAAAACCTATTCAAATTGCAGTATCATTAATTCTTTTTTTCTTTTGTTTCAGATTCATCCTAGTTTGTTACGTGTTCGATTCGTAAGTGTGCGTGTTTCAGTGTTGTTACTTTCGTGAAGATTCGGTATGTGATAGTGACAGTGATAGAATAACTTGCTTGCTCGATGGATTTCCCCTCCGCCCAGTCTCTGGCACCTTCCTACCTACCCCACCCTTCCCTACCATCCACCACCATCATTCATCACGGAGAGGATGAGGACCGTGGACATCCGACGCTGGATAGATTAAGGTTTCGGTGAACCCTACTGAGGTCTAGCCGACGCCTAAAAGTAAGTCACTAATGAATATTGTTTCAAATAGACCCGAGTGCAAGTTTTTATATTTCCATTTGTATTTGTATTTTTTGATTTTTATTACTTTGGGGCTAATTTGATTTTTGCACCCAATAAGGTGGCTTACAAACGGTAAGTTAGCGTATTATTGGGCTCCTCTGGTGGTCCATTGCCATATTATCCAATTGAGTCGCTCCGCGTGCTAGGGACCGACGTGTGCAGGCACGGCGCCTGTATTACGTCAAACTTTGATTCTTAATACTTGGATTACTTATGTGATTATTAGTTGCTGCCTTAGGTCCTTTACGCCGTATTATTATCTACAAGACATACCTACCTACCGTATTTATTGTTGCTTTTTAGGGATGTGACGTTAGGACACGGAGAACATTTAAAATTGTGATTACCTTATTTCAATGCATACCTACATACATGGTGTTTTGTCCACGCTGTCTTTTCGGGGTTTGGTTCCACGTACACCTACATATACCATAAATAATATTATTTACACTTTTATTTTATGTGTATGTTTACTTGTCACTCATTGGGTCTATTTGATATTTTTTCAGCTAGTGTATTTACAATAGTGTAGTGAGGAAGGAGGAAGACAGCGAAAAGTGTTGCGCGTCAAGGTATAGTGCATTACCTATACCTTCTTCTGGCATAACAGTGGCGGCGGCTCGCGAATCGGTTTAAGGTTGGCGCCAATTCCAATTTATTTAAATTCATTAAATTTTTAATGTTGCCAGTAAATTGTTCGTTTTTAATAACTCATTTGATATTTTGTGAAATTTTAATTTGAAATTAAGGGGAAAATGAATAACGTCTCATCTACCGCATAAATATAGGTGAAAATTTTTCGAAAGGAAAAAATCGTATTATTCATCTTCTCCTTAATTTAGTAAATTTTTAAAACTTCAATTCAGGGTATCTGCCGTTATCACTTGGTGAAACATGATTGAAAATTAAAAATTAAGTCAAAAAAGGAGTAACAAAAACCATACTAATTAACAAACAGTAAATAAATTAATTTATATATTAGACCCAAACATTGTTCAACCCCCACCCTCCCTCTTAGGAATAAATCTCTATAAATTAATTTATTTCCTGTTTGTTAATTAGTATAGTTTTTGTTACTCCTGAAGATACGTATCGAGGTTTTAATAAAGTTTTAAGTGAAAGTCCCAAGTTTTTTGATTTAATTTTTAATTTTTAACTTCAATTCAATTGCCATAATTAAATGTTAATTGTAGGTACTATTTTCCAAATTTACTATTTATTTTTTTCTTTTGCGCTCGAGTACCTACCTACAGGTAGCCAGCCAGGTAATAAGCGTTCGTCCAATGGGCATGTAGGAGTGATTACTAATTTTTAATTTAGGTACTTGATTTCTATGATGATGAATAAAAAAGAAACACTTTTATGGATTTTACTCTAACGTGTATTTCGGCTGTAATGATATCATCAAAGAGTTAATATTCTCAACTGGAGTTATTAGCACTTTGACGATGGATATTTTAGAGTGAAATCTAAAAAATAATTTAGTGAAACATATAAACCAAGCAAGCAAGGTTTCTTTTTTATTCATCGTATTCATTCATAGTATTAAAAAGCGATCGTCTTCGGCTTACCACAATTTCGACTATTACATAATGTCGTTCTCGTCCAACACGAATTACGCCACTGTTGCCACCACATTTACAATGCTTAACGGCACACAGGATTTCTTTTCATATTCCATTCTCAATTTACATTTTGTCGTTTTAATGTTTTTTTTCAATTACGAAATTTCATTTATTTTACTGCTGCACATCTAAAATCTTAGTTCTTTCAAAGCAAATATACATGTCACAAATTAGAAATACATAACTTTCGAATTTTATCACTGGGTGCCTACATAAATTTCGTTAAGCTTAAAATCAAGGAGTGGGAATATAAGTATGTTGGTAATGAAGTAAGTACGTACTACCACCCTATCAGTGGGTGGGGTATCAATAATATATTATATGTTTTACCTTTTACTAATCTTGTATCTTCGATTCTGTTTCAGCATGACCGGTAAGTGAAGTACTTTACATCCAACCAAATATCTTTTTAAACGATGATACTAACAATTTTACCTATTTTCTTTTTCAGGTTTCCGTGGGTCAATCTTTCTCTTCTCGCTTGGGAAGAGAAAGAAGAACATCGATCGATTAAAACAACCAAACATGATCACACATATCGTTAACGTCGCGATCGAAGTGTATCCGTCACGTTATTGTTTAGTTGGGGTGTTCGTTGTTTGATGAAAATGTTTGTTCTCCATCCTCTTGAAAACCATAAATATCTCCTTTTAATATTGTCGTGGTTCTGTTGTCTCGACTTCGTTTTCTCCACTCTTCTTTATAATGATAGGTATCAGTCTTGGAGGCAACAGTCTGCTCACTTCAATACAAACTTGGCGGAGGGTCAATTTTTTGCGGTATTTGCGATCCATCCCAATGGGACTTTTAGCGCAATGGCAAGTGAAACCCACAACACCCAAATGTTTCGTTAGTGGTTTTCCCTTTTCATTTTTCGTGTCGTTTTCGGATCGAGTGAAATGCGGGTTGGTGTTAGTGTTAATAGGAAGAAGATTCGTGTCCGCAGAGACACCAGGACAATAAATGTGCCTTAGGGCATGTACAGGTACACGTTTGAGAGTATGTTTTAGGAACATGAAGCAAATAGAATAGAATAGATCCCTGGAGTTGTACGATTACAGTTTAGATGATCGCGACGAGGACGATAAAAAAATAGCACGTCGAAGATAAATTCCTACCTATTATTCATGTTGAGGTTTTGATTTTGGTGTTGGTGCTAATAGGAAGAAAGCTAGTGTCCGCAGAGACACCAGGTCTATAAGCACAAGAAGTAATGTGCCTTCGGGCATGTACAGGTATACGTTTGAGAGTATGTTTTAGGAACCAGAAGTAAATAGAAACATGGAGCTGTACGATTACGATTTCCAACATAATTGGAATCGCTGTTTACTCTAATTTAATTTGTGTCTTTGGTTTTAAGTTCTTTTCAGTCCCTGAAGGAGATAACTCCGTTACCCAATAGTCCTTCAGACGCTAAGCATCACATGCTGGCGTTAGGGTTTGAGCTGTTTAAAGTAGTTCAGAAACATGGTACATAGGTATATGGTCTATATTTGGCGATAAAGTAAAAACTGAAAACATGGTACCTATTACGCAAGTTGAGAACCGCAAGGGTATTATGGAATTGCGGGGGTGATGGAGCATGGAATATTTTACTGCCTAGAACTGTTCGTCATAATTTCCTTTTTTTTTGTTAGGGTCCGAAATGTCGAAGTAATCGACAAATAAACCGTTCAAAAGATTACAGGGATGTTAAAGAGGACATCAACAAACCAAAACATTACATTGGTTGCTGCCACCAAGTTAAATTACAGCCGATGGGACGCCTTAAGCCGTTTGGTTGTTTGCTTCACCCGCTGGGTGTTTTTAATTCTTTTTAACTAACCTTTTGTCTGAACATCCATTTCACAGGTACGAAAAACACGTTGAGGCCCGCAAAACAGTTGATGAGTTTGCGGGGGTGGTGGAGGGTCTCAACGCACTAGGAGGAGTTGATGATGTAGGTACGGTGGAATATTTCACTATTCTGCACTTTTGTTCATAATTGCGTCGTGTTTGTCAGGGTTCTAAAATGTAAAGTTATCAAGAGAACCATCGATTTGTAAGTCCCATGTATGCCATTACCACTACCGTCCCAGGAGTGTCTCCACCAGTTGGGAGGATGATCAGGTTTAGTTCAATGAATGGGAAGAATTATGAGAAAGGTACTACTACCTTCTCCATTCACCGGCGGGTGTTCGTAATTCTTTCTAATCGAAACTTCTTCTTCCAGAATCGAACGTGGAATTATGAGAGAATGTGTTGAGGCCCGCAAAACAGTTGATGAGTTTGCGGGGGTGGTGGGGGGTTCTCAACCAACCAGGAGGAGTGTTGGGGATGTAGGTACGGTGGAACATTTTACTACTCCGAACTTTTGTTCATAATTGCGTCGTGTTTGTCAGGGTTCTAAAATGTAGAGTTATCAAGAAAACCATCGATTTGTAAGTCCCATGTATGCCATTACCACTACCGTCCCAGGAGTGTCTCCACCAGTTGGGA